TGTGTGTGTGTGTGTGTGTGTGTGTCGCACAAGTCGAAAATGATCGTGCAAAGCGCGGTTGGTTCCCGGGACACGGTTGCACCGACAAGCGGTGTTTGTAGCAGAACGGTATTATAAGCGCAGAGAGCAGCAGCAGCAGCAGTGTGTGAATAGCGAGCACGTGCATTTCCCACAGAAAACCAATAGGGGCTTGCCTTGGCCAGCTGGGAATATGAACGGTGTGCGCGCAGGGTTCGGTGTTCTTTCGATCTTTTGGGGTATGCGCGCCTCAAAACGAGGACGAAGGCTACTCGAAAGAACGAACAATGTTCAGGGCCTGGAATGTATCGATAGAGAAGGACCACGACAATGCGTCCGACTTCCTTTCCTTATATCTTAAATGTAATTCTTTGTGCCTGTAAGATGAGAAAAGGCTTTGCAACGCTCCTGGCAGGTAAATCGATTTTTAGAAGAGAATTAGAAAACGTTGGAGAAATTAAAAAAAAAAAACTTCAGCTTCGTTGTTCTTCTCTCAAATAGAAAATAATAAGTCGACAATTTTTAGCAAATTATTATCATTAAATTTTTAAGTTTTTCAATTCTTGTCTCATTTCTTCCCTTGCTCTTTTACAGTGGCGATAAGGGTGTTACGTGTATTACTGATTTGAGCAAGCCGAGATTATTGTAACGTGTCTCATAGTGCTGCGTACTATTTTTCATCTCCATTTTATTTCTAATTCATCGGAAACGTTTTAAGTTTCCGAATTCTGTGAAATTCTATGATCGAACACATGTTAACATTGGCAATTGCCAAATGATTATGAATCTTATAAATTATTAATAAAAATTGCGCCGATAATGGCGTGGTCCCCGAATAGTGGCCACGCGATGCGCGATTTAAGTTGACCGACCTTCTCAAATAATTCAATGATCATGAATAACTTACATATATATTATTGCTGCATCGTGGAAACAATCGATTAGTCGTACAGAATAGTTGGAATAAAGCATGAATCTGACCTACAAAGAGATGTTCATATTACAATCATGTTGACTTTATTCTTCAGCCAAATTTATTTTATTAATATCACACGTTTTTGGTCAATATCTTAGTGCCAGAACGAATTTTAGTCGCACATTATTTAATACACATAACATTGCTCGCTTGAATTTCAATAGAGTTGTCTTGCTTAAATATCTCGAATGTAAATATAATGACAAAGACAGTGAATAGATATGTAATTTCCTTTCTCTTGCCGAGGATAAATTACGTGAGAAAATTATTCCTAAAGATAGCTACCTGCTCTGCGAAAATTTTTAACCATATAATAAAGCGTAGTTTTCAGTGAAACATTTTAGTTTTATCTTTTTTTTTCCAGTATCCTGATTTTCGTTGAAACGCCTGCAGCACGCGACACGCCATTTGCCATTTTTATTGAAACTAGTTTCAAGAAAATCATCAACAACGGCGGCGATCGGCGTTGGGGTTCAGCCCGTGTTATCATCCGGCTATCATAGCACGGTGCCACCCCAGAACGGAGGTGGTGGTTCGACATTTAGTGCCGCGGCGATGGTGGCAGCTGCCACCGCTACGGCCACCGCCACTGCTAGCGTGGTGGCCATGCAGGACCGCCAAGACATCCCTTCTCAATTTAATCAGGTACCATTTCTCTTCCTATATTTATTCTGCTGAGATCTCTTCATCTGTTCGTGCCTTGAATTATTAAAAAAAAAAAAAAAACTGTTTAAATAACATGTTACTTATTGATTGTAGATGCAGAGTCAACATGGAATACCCCACCAATCGTACAACGCAGGGTATGCTCAAAGAGGACCAATGGCCGGAATGGGGCCAGTCGGGATGAGCAACTTTAATAGCATGGGCACGATGAGCCCAATGCACTCTATGAATTCCATGAATTCGATGAACAGTATGAATGGCATGAACTCAATGAATCCTATGTCAATGGGAGGTATGAACGGTATGAATGGTATAAACGGAATGACCCCCATGAACTCCATGAGTAACATGGGCAATATGGGCATGAACAATATGATGGGACCCAACAACATGCAAATGAACAAGATGAACATGCAGGTATGTGATGTATCGAATTCACTTGAATTCACTAATTTAAGCAATGAAAGCGAATGTGGATTATTAAACCACTAGCTTCTTCCGAGTTTGAGGAACAAATAAAAGAATGGAGAAATTTACTTCCAGGCTCAACCTCATCAAGGTTATACAAGGAGACTAGCGCCTTATCCAAATCCCGCGATGCACATGGCGCAAAAGAGGCAGCAGGGGCCGTACGCTGGTCCTAATCCGGCTGCGATGCAGCCAGCCTTCAACGGCATGTCGTCGTCACAGTATCCGACCAATTACCCTAGTGCAGCGAGGCCGAATTTTCAACCTCAATATCAACCTATGCAGAGTATGAATCCATCGGCTGCTGGCTTTGGCCCGAACTCCATGATACGGAGTAATAACATGAGACAAACTGCGCCCTCTTACAATACTGCTAATCAAGCGACGAATAACCAATATTACGGTAGCAACGGTATACCGGTTAGTATGGGACCTACGACTGTTGGAAACCAGTTCGTTGGCCATCAACCAAATTCTGGGTACGCTGGTAGTACATCTTCGTATGGTGGAGCCGGTGCTGCAACGAGTCAATACCAGCAAGATGTTGCGTCAATGAGAACGACGGGCGCTGGTAGTTTAAATTACCAACACAGTCCTATCCCTGGTAATCCGACTCCTCCTTTGACACCGGCAACCAGTATGCCCCCTTACATCAGTCCAAATCCAGATATTAAACCTAATTTCAACGAAATGAAATCACCGGTTAATATTCAGAGTAAGTTAAATTCACGATGTTTCGATCATTTAGTTAAAAAAAAAATCAGAATATTAATAGCCTATATTTTTTTATGTGTTTGCGCAGAGGATGATGAGTTAAGATTAACATTCCCTGTGCGGGATGGCATTATTCTTCCACCCTTCCGCTTAGAACATAATCTGGCTGTAAGCAACCACGTTTTCCAATTGAAACCCACGGTGCATCAAACGTTGATGTGGCGGTCTGATCTGGAACTGCAACTCAAATGTTTCCACCATGAGGATAGACAAATGAACACAAATTGGCCAGCTAGCGTACAAGTCTCCGTGAACGCTACGCCCTTAGTTATCGATCGTGGCGAGAATAAAACGTCTCATAAGCCCTTATATCTGAAAGACGTTTGTCAACCTGGAAGAAACACGATACAAATTACTGTATCAGCATGTTGTTGTGTAAGTTTCCTATCCTTTATATATCCTATCTTATATTCACAGTATTAATGTTCAATGTTACGAACGATAATCAAATCTCTTCTCCTTATTTGCAGTCCCATTTGTTCGTGCTTCAATTAGTTCATCGACCAAGTGTGAGAAGCGTACTTCACGGATTATTACGTAAAAGGCTACTTACAGCGGAGCATTGTATTACTAAAATTAAACGGAATTTCAATAATACTATTTCAAATAACGGTATACAGTCAGAGAAAGATGTCGTAGAACAGACAGCACTTAAGGTAGATATTTAATACT